AAACTAACACCTTCTTTCTGCCCTATGCCGTGCACAGCCCACGTAGCAGCTACCATCCACTTCTCTCCTAGGAACAAACACCCTGACGTTTCCTGTGTTTAAAGTCTGCAGTTCCTTTCTTCATACCTCCCCTCTGTCCTTGCTCACAAATCATTCTGCCTGGACAGGAGACAGTCCTAACCTTCAGTCAGATGGGTCACTGCTCTACTGAAGACCTTAATGTTCTAGACTCTGGAGTCTTGCCGCCTGCCCCCGCAGGACAGCTGGCCTTCCTTTGACCTCCTGGCCTATCATGCTCACTCCCTTCTCTCCAGCTTTGTTAACCCTTTGCCACTCATATGACAGAGCAGTTAGGCCACCCCTGGGGGCCTCTGCACCAGTTCCCCCAAACACCCACCTGAAGGGCTCCTGCTCCTGCTCCTGCAAGTCTTGGTCTTGATTTCTTATCACAATGCCACCCCAACCCAGGGTACCCGGTTTATCAGCCCCTGTGCCCTGCCCCGTGCTCCCACAGTACTCCAGATCTTTCTATACATCACAGAACATTACTGATTTTGTACATTTAGCATCTGGCATTGCGAGGAAACTAATTCAACAAGGAGCACATCTACTTTATTTACAGACATGCTGTAAGCAAAATGACACATAGAACATGGTAGATGTTTGTTTATTGTATGAAGCAGAGAATGCACAGATTAACCAGCCAGCTGGCTAAATGAAAATCTCCAGGAAAGTGTGTTCAGAAAGAATCATTAATTGTGGTATAACATTTATTTTAAAACTACCTTGTACTAAAACAAGGGCTCACAAGTCCCCTTAGGTTCCAAGGATCATTTGGGTTAATGTGGTGTCCTGTGTCCACCAAGCTGTCATATGCTCTTCATAGCTCATCTGAAGAATCACTGAACGAGGAGAAGTCAAGGGAAAGGGGTCTGATGTTGAGCCTGAATACCCCATCCCTGACACGCTACCTCCCCAATACCCTACGTATAAAGTGACTGGCCACCTGTGAAGACAAGTTTCACCTTTTCCTATTGTATTTTCCCACTCTGACTGAAGTCTGTCATGATCTTGGAAAAGCAGAGCTAACCATTCAGTAGTGTGTGGCTGAATGACAAGAAGGGCGGGTTCTGCTGAGGCGTGAGGGGATGGAGCGGCAACTGCTAGCTTGGAAGCATTTTCCTCTGAACCATAAATATCTCACTGTGCCAACCACTTGCCTCTCTCACCAAAACCATGGCCCGACACTGAAGTCAGGCAATGAGTAGGACTTCCAAAACACAGAGGTTCATTCTTTCAAAACTTTGGAGCCACAGAGAGATGTATTTTCAAACCGTAACATACCCTGTGTGCTAAGCAAAACAATGTCCCCAACCCCAAAGACATTACTGGTGTCTACACTCTAATATCTGTGTGTTACGTGTTGTATGATACAGCCAAAGGAATTCTGTAGCTGTGATCAAATTAAAGGATTTTGTTTGTTGGCACAGGGTCTCTTGGAATCCAGGCTGGACTCTGTCTATACTGCTGAGTATTCGGACTCCTGATCTTCCCATTTCCAGTACTCAGCTGTTGAGGTCACAGGAGTGTACTGAGGTTAAGGACTTCGAGGTAGGAGTAGTCTAAATTATCAGAGTAAGATAATGCAATCCCCGGAGTTCTTAAAAGAGGGGGCAAGTGATCCACTCAACAGAGATGTGAGCATGCCTGGTATAAAAGCTCTCAGGACCCTGCCAGCTTTAAAATAAAATAAAATAATAAAATAAAGAGAGATAGTTCTTGAAACCACAGAAATGAATTCTTCCTGTCCCAGGGTTTTAGTCTCATGGGACAAATGAGTGGATGTGTAGTTTTAAACCAAGTTTGTGACAATGTGCTACAGTAGTAGCAGTGAACTTAGACACAATAGGAGCACAGTGTCAGGCCAGACTCCTGATGTAACACATCCACCCTGCTCCTACCACTAGGGAGCCAGGACCAGTCTCTGTGTGACTGAATAACGAACAGGGAAAGTCCAGACCTTAGCTTCCAGGACCTCCACCATCCCAACCCTCCTTCAAGGTGCTGACATCTGCTGGGGATAGGAACCAAGGCTGCCCGGTCACATCAATAAGCCACTGTCAGTCAAACATGGTCTCGAGTTCCCCATTCACCCCTGACGTCACCAGCTTATTCGGCATTTTTTTTTCAAACAAAAAATAAACAAGAGTCATAAAGGGACCTGAGTTTGTGAGAATAGCTTTTAATTTAAAACTATCAAAGCAATAAATTATCCATCTCTTCCCATCACAGGCGAGTACTCTCCCAAACACTTGAAGTCATTTCCACACCAACCGTGACTAGTGCAAAATAAATAAATACCAAGTCTTCCGGCAACCAGCAACGATGCTGCTGGGCAGGTGGGCACGGGTCAGGCTCAGCCTCTGCCCCGGCTGAGGAGCACTGAGCTCCACCAAGCCTTCCCACTTGCCCAGCTGTGAACAGACTGCACGACACCCGGGAAAGGGAACTACAAGAGAATGTTGCCTGAGGTGAAGGCAGTAGGTTCAAACCCCTGCCATAGCTCACATCCACAGCACCCTGAGGATGCTGGGAAAGCAGGCACTAAACCCCAGGGCAACTCCAAAGCAAGGGTGAAGAAAGGCCGTTGCACTACTCTTGTCACTAAACTGGGGAGATGTATTTTTTTTAAAAAGCAGAAAAAGCTTTTATTTCTGGGGCTTGTTTGGGTCTGGTACGTTCCCCATGTGTTGCTTCTGCAAAATTCTCTTCCACGTGGGATTTCACTGCCTACCTCACAGTGTGGAGCACTAATGGAAAGGCCATTGGTCACGGAACCAAACGTGTCATTAGCCATACGAAGAACAGATGACCATGGAGTGGAACTAATTTAAATATTAAATTACTGTTACATTTAATCCATGTATCCCCCATCATTTGCAATCGATAGGATATTACAGTCATACTGTTTATTCAATCCTTCAAATGTTATTATGCATTACTATTCGTAGGACAATCTGAGTATAGATTGGTCAAATCCCACCACCCTGAAGGGGCTACAAAATCTTCCGCCAACTCTAAGAATGATTTATTGAGTAGATGTGCTGATTAAGTTTTCTTGGTTTTTGTTAATTTGACCCAAGCTCTGGTCATCTGGGAAGAACCTGGATGGAGAAAATGCTTCCATTAAGATTAACCTGTGGGCAAGCCTTTGGGACATTTCCCCCATTAGCAGTTGCTGTGGAAGGGCCCAGCCCACTGCGGTGGCACCTCCCTCAGGCAGGTCGTTTTGGTTTGTCTAAGAAAGCAGGCTGAGCAAGCCATTGGGAACAAGCCAGTGAGCCGCAGCCCTCCATGGTCTATGTCTCAGTACTTACCTTCAGGTTCTTGCCTTGAGTTTCTGCCCTGGCTGCCCTTCATGGCGGACTGTAAGTTACACAGTGAAATAAAGCCTGTCCTCCCCAAGGTGCTTTTGCTCATGGTCTTTATTACACCAATGAAAAGCAGTCTTGGACAAGAGGAAACCCTGGTGGCATCAAGTAAGTGGTCTTACAATATGGGCCCTGTCCTGCCACCTGGAAGTTTTTACCTAACAGGCAGAAGCACACGTCTCTAAGCCACCTTCTGTTCTGCCCAAGTATTCCTGGCAGCTCGTCACAGGCTCTAAAGACCCAGGATGAGACTCAGCAGCCGTGGTGTCTATGATGACAAAGACAGACTTTCTAGGACAGACATCTTTGTCAGCACTGATCTGGGCACTGGGGCGACCTGCAGGGGAACTGAAATTTTAACATATTTTTCACATTAGACTCACTCTGAGACTTTCCCAAGCGGGTGCCATAAACAGACTGCTGCTTTTGCTTTGGAGTGGGACAGTCACAAGGGGCCTCACAGACTGAGGAGCTGTGAGCTCAGAGGTGGGGAAATGGGATTACCAAGGGAAACAGTCCGGGAACAGAAATGAGCTGTAAACTCACGATGACGGCTCCTACAAACGAGTAACCGCAGACTCAGACACCTGAGCTTCCGGTTGCCACAGCTCACGTCTGATTCGGGTTGTAATCACAGAAAAGTGAAAGTAAACCGTGGCTGTAGGACAGACAGGGACTTCCTGGTTATCTGGTCTAACCTCCTGGTCCGCAGACAAAGGCCCAAGAGGTAGAATGGCTCCAGCAGATCACACTGAGAGACAATGCCAGGACGTAAGCCTACTTATGAGTTTGCAGCTCGGGTAATGGGAGCCCAGAGGGATTCAGGGGAGAGAACAGGCACATTCTCTTGTAGGTTTGGGACAACAGGCCAGGCAATTCCAACATACTGAAGCAACATTGATATAAAATGTCATTAAAATATGATTCTTCCCAGATTCTTTTCGTTTAGAAGAAAAAGAAAATTCCATCTGGACCAAACTGGATTTCTCATTTAGTTATTTGGGTATTTAGACCAAGAGACAAAACAGAAACTTTGACCCATTTTCCAAAGACATCTTTGGAGTCTACACAACTGGATATCAAAAGATATTTACAGAAAGAAAGTTCTGTCCTTCACACAGATGCCTACACACAAAGAGAGAGCCACATGATCACCCTGCCACATCTCACCCGGAAGACTCCTGGCAGGCGGGTCAGCAGACATAGCCCACACACTGTCCCAGTCGTAGATACACATGTCCTGTCTACACACATGTGTAAGGTAAGTGGTACATCCCACTGCTATCCAGAGAAGTTTGGCATACCAGGAGATACATGCAAGCACATTGCTAACAAAAAGCCACTGCTCACGCCAGTGTGCCCAGCTCCCAATATGAAGAAATAGCGCATACACAAAACCTTACCAAGAAGTAGCCCTTGTGTTTGTGAGGCAGGGGGAGAGGCGGCCAGAATACACTTTTTTGAAGTATGCCTCAGCATCAGAAGGGTTAATTTGCTTAATCTACCTAATGAAATTAAGTAGCTTACAGCCTAAAATCTTTAATGTGGATTTTACACCATAGATGTTGCCAAGTTTTTATAAAAGTTTTATTTTGTTCAAAATATACATGCTATCTTTGACCACATTTGAATTCAAACCTCCAGAGAGCTTCCTACCCCCACAAAAGGCCTTGCTTTGTAACACTGCAAACCAGTCACCGATGAGGCTGCTCAGAGTCATTATTCTATGACGTGTGGCCCTACAGAGAAGCTGCTTAGTGTGGAAATCCCCATAGGGGTGAATGGGGGGACAGAAAGGGACATACATAACAGAGACTTGGGATCTCGGAGACAAGTGCAGAAGGGGCATTGGTGGGATGGTGTTGTGGAGAATTACTGCATTGTGTGCTCCCTCCTTCTGCCATGCCATTTGTTCCCAGATGGAAACCGCATCAGCTAAGTCCAGAGGGCAGGGTGTGAACTCTCCCGGAGCCTACCAGGCTCCACCATCTCCTCTCTGGGAAGGGTCCTCAGCACTGATCAAAGCCTGCTACAAAGAGAAGATATGTCACCTCACCATTGTGCAGATGAGGAGAATGAGGCACAGATAAAAGGGAGGATTTGCGAAGACCCATAGCCAGTCAAGGCAGCACCCAGGTTTCCAGGCCTCTGGCCCCAGCTTCACAGCCCAGACTTACAGTACATATGACTTCCCTTGAGACAGGGCCCCAGCTTACTAGAACCCTGGCTGTTCACACTCATCACACCCTAACCCTGTGCCTCTGCTTTACTCAGCCCAGTCGGGTCTACTTCTTTTCTGCAGTTTCTAGAAAGATCTTTTCAATCAAACAAGTCCATATGAAACAGACAGCGAAAAATCGTTTGTCCCTTGATCAACTCGTCTGAACTAGAAACTCCAGAGACCGGGATTGGGTGAAAAGCAGGAAGCAGGTGAGAGCGAGCTCAGTCCTCTCCACAGCACACCCAGAGCTCCGCTCTGCTCTCGGGCTGCAGCTAAGACACGGAAATGACCGGGAAGAAAGGACAGCTGTCCAGATGTTATAAGAGCGTCTCTGCGGCTCACATCTTTAAAGTGCCCATGGTCACACTGTGGGTCGTAGCAGACAGGCAGCAAGGGCAGAGACTGGCCCCAGAGGAAGAGAGAAGTGAAAATATAAGAAAGTTCAGAGACCAGAAAAGCAGACAAACCAAGGGCATTTGACATGATCCAGGAGTACGCTTAAGAGACCCGTTATCTCACTACAAAAGAACTCAAAAGTTTGAGGGAACACACTGCTGAGGAAGAGAAGCCATCTGCCTTTGGCAAAGCTCAGCAGAACAAGACGTGGACACCTGACATCGATGTTAAATGGCACAGACACACATGAAAGGCAGACAGCACTTAGAGGCCACAATACAGCCCTTTGGACTCCTAAAACCCAAGTGGGGAACTAATTTTTCACAACTGTTCCTGAGTTATAGGTTTGTTAAAATGTTTGCCTGCCTAACCCAAATATGCTTAAGAGCAACTGTTTAGCCTTTGAACAACACCATCAGAGTTCCAGTGAACTACAAAGGTCACACACACATTCTCACACACACTCATACAGTGTATTATTAAGTCTGATATGATTTAACTTAAAAATAGCTTCCATTGCAGATGTCCTAGTACACATAGCTGGGTCAGAAATTATTGTGGGAAATGAAAACATAATGCCACAAATAAAAATCAGCCCAGGTTTTGATTTCCTGTTCCGGGGCATTTTTTTTTATCACAGGTGAGGCCTCACCACTGACCCCCTAAGTAGAAAAGAGGGAAGGACACCCCGTATCTGATGTGCTGGTGGCCAATGTCTTTGCTTCCATCACCCACTCCCTGAACAGTAGCAAAAGTCCCTACAATAGAGTATTGCCACCAACAGAAACTTCTTCCCAGTTCTTCTCCAGAGGGTGTCGAGTGGAGTGACCATGCTCTTGAAAGAAGCAGTAAGTAGCCATGAAGTCCCTTGTATCCGGCTGTCCCGAATTTTTTCCTTTCCTTTTCTTTTTTTCTTTTTTTTTTTTTCTTTTTTGGCGAATTAAAAAGGTGTATGGCTTCTTGTCGCCAGCTCTTGTGAGGTTTAGCTTGGTATCCTACGGTAAAAGTACATATATCCCAGGTCTTTGGGGGGCCGTTCTGAGGCACAAACTTTGTGGTCGTTGTAGATCACCCACCTGAAAAGAAAGACAGAAGCACGTGGTGTCAGTAGTGTGCGCAGCGCAGACAGACAGCATTGTACACTGTGGAGCAGAGGCCTCGGCAATTCGGATGCTCCACGGTGGCCAGGGCCCAACCACTGCATAAGAGGGACAGAATTTTGCTGAAGAACTCCCCCGCCACCCAGATCTCTCCTCCAGACAGGGTTTCTTAAGCATATTTGGGTTAGGCAGGCAAACGTTTTAACAAACCTATAACTCAGGAACAGTTGTTAAAAATTAATTCTTCACTTGGGCTCCTTCTCCAGGCTGGTCTCTAACTTGACAGGTAGCCCAGGATGCCATCAAACTGTGCAGCTCTCTTGGTTTATGTGGCACTGAGCTGGGGACTGAGCCCGGGACCTTGTGCCTGCTCCACAACAGTCCACAAAATGAGCCCAGCTCTTTGGTGCTTGAATTCAATCAAAAACTAGTTACTAAAATGTACTGGAATTCTTCAAATGTTAGAATTCTGCAATTCTCTTTGTGTAAACCCATAAACAGGTTCAAAAAGTAATCCAAGAATTATATACAGTGATGTATATTTAAGTCTTGGTATAGAACAGCCTAAAACTCAGAAGTAAACATGACTCAGTAAAGTATTAAATAACTGGGAGCATGTCTTCCAAGAATATTTGATAAAGCAAGAAAATAATCACAATATAGTATGAAGACATAATATAGATGAATAATCACAATATAATTTGGAAAGGGCAAGCAGGTTATATTTAGTAATATATGTATATGGTCATGCATATATATATACATGCACACAACAACAATTAATCAAAAAAGGGCCAGGAATTTGAAAGGGAGCAAGGATGGGTATGTGGGAAGATTTGAAGGAGGAAAAGGAAGGTAGAAATTTTATAATTACATTATAATCCCAAAATTTTTTAAAGTTAAAAAAACCCACAAACTCTAAGAAAATAAACAAAAACAAAAAGGATACACATACTTTAAGGTGAAAGTACATGTGCATAAATGTGTATATATGTGAGAGTGTGTGTATGTATGTGTGCCCTCCCACAGAGACACCAACAAAATGAAAAAACAAAGAAAGACATCAACATGTAGATAATGGCTATTCTTAAGCTTACAAAATACATATTTTTTGCATTGTTTTGTACTGTGCTGATTTGTAATGATTTCTCTAATTAAGCCACTCAATGAGGTCATCATGTCTGTAAGTTCCTATGTAAAAATCAGATTGTCCATCTTCAACATGAGGTGCATTTAGGTTCATCTACACTACAAACCAAAGGTCTCTCTCTCTCTCTTTCTCCCCTAGTCTGCTGCTGTTTATCCAAAAATTGTGCGGGTCCTCTGCTATAGAGAGAGTCAAAGATTTGAAAGGCAGTCTCCACTGTTCCCTGGATGAGGCTCTGTGTCCCAAGTCAATGAGAGGGGGAGTTTGAGGCAAATCCAGGACAGTAGAAGTTGGCAGTTGAGCAACTTGCAAAGCCACTATCTTGGGTCAAATCAGCCCAGTAGCCATTACTGCCTTTTCTCTATGCTCTGCCCCCTTCTACATAACGGTATGTTAAAAACTGGTTCATTTACACCAGCCTCTTGAATTTGCTATTATCTTATTTCCAATCATAGACCTGTGTTCTTTGCTTGACTCTACTGATCAAGTTAAGAAGCTAAAATTAAAAGACATGGAAAAAGGGAGAAGGAGAAGGAAGAAGAAGAAGAAAAGTAAAAAGAAAAATGATTGAATCTATGTGGGAACTAACCATCTAAGTCATAGGAGACATGGGTGGGCAGGTGTACGTGTTGTGACAGTATCCATGTGATATGAACAAGCAAGAAAGCCCACCGCAGGCTACAGCAGGGAACTGAAGGAAGGGCACCCAAGGAGAAGGTCTGAGGTTAGACCACCTCATTCCTACCTCATTACAAACCTCCAAGTTTGACTCAAGAAGCTAACTTCTAGGTTGCCATGCAACAAAGCACCTAAGGTTTGGAGCTGCCAGGTAGAATACAGGTTACCTGGCTTAATCAGGCACACAACAAATAACATAAACATGTTCATGTAATATTGAAAACAGGCAGTGTTAGAAACACACTTAAATAAAAGTGTTTATTTTTAAAACTTAAATTAACCAGGGCAGCCATGTTCGCTTGTAAAAATCCACTTATTCTATGGAGGTTCCAAACACAGCCTACTTTATGCTGTACTGCACCTTTATCTGGGGACTTCACCTTGGCACAATAAAGTGACTTTGAATATCAGTTCCAGCACACCTGATGACTAGCTAACCTGAGCCCCAGGGGTTGAATTTGTAAAACAGTTAAGCATACAATCTATCAGGCACATAGGTATACCTGTAATCCCAGCACTCAGGAGGTTGAGGCAAGTGGATATTAGTTCAAGATCACCTGCTCTACATAGTGAATTCCAGGTCAACCAAGGCTACAGAGCAAGACCCCCATCTTTTTTTTAGATCAATATAAAAACCAGAAATAACGTAGAAAACACTTGTGCAATGGCTGAATCCAGGAAGGCCTCAATACCACAGCTATCCACTGCCTTTCTTTAAAAAAAAAAAAAAAAAAAAAAAAAAGACTCACCGTCCCTCCTTTTTGATATGGCAAACATAATGGCCACACATTGTAGATGTTCCCATGTGACTGATGAAGGCAAATAACTCGTACACTAGGGAAAAGAAAACAGTTCAGTTAGAAGGCAGCAATCAAAAACCCAATATGCTTCTAAACAGCATCTGGAACCAACAGGAGGGTCATTGGCTCTCTAGACTCACAATTCAAGCCAGTTAACCATGCTACGTTGACCATATGTGTGCGAGCATTGCATGCACACACACACACACACACACACACACACACACACACACACACACGCACACACACACTGGTATGGAATCCCATCAGCAATCAGGAATAAAGTATGGCAAACAAAACTGCTGGTGCAGGCTTAACCCCGACCTCCTGCCTGTCCCACCCTGCATCACGCCTGCAGCAAGCTCTCAGGTCTGAAAGACTTATGAGGGTGGAAAAGTTGCTCCATCTTTTTGAGCCTGTTTCTATCACTGAGTTTGAAGAAAACAGAAAAGAAAGGACAGGAAAGGACAGGACAGGACAGGACAGGACAGGACAGGACAGGACAGGACAGGACAGGACAGGA